GTACTCAACAAGACTTAACTGAAACAAAAACTGATAGAACTCAGGAATGCAGGCTCAGGGATTTAAGGTATGGCTTTAGCAATAATATAAGTTCTTTTGCGTAAAAGCTCTTTAACAAAATTCTTGACTTCAACATATAAAACTTCATAAGAACCACATATGAATCTGCCATGATCCATAATGAGATCATGAACTTCATATCAAACTCTTTCTCAAAATCCAGCTCAAGTTTCATTTATTATCTACGATGGTGAACAGTGAGTTAAGTCTCCATAACCGAGGAGCAACAACGATTCGAACCGATTAAACCCAGCTGGGGATTCCAGACTACACGACATATGCAGGTCCCCGACCTACATACATATACTAACCTACCCTCGGATCCTCTAAAACAAGAACGGGTCCGCGCCACCCGAGAATACAGTACTCCACCAATCCAGCCCATTACCACGTGGGTACACACTATTCCCACCATCTCTCCACTCCCAGTGCGCGAGTAGCCATTCTCGTAATAGAGTAGCCAAGTTAAGGCTTACCGGAGTATGCGGTTAGTACTACAAAGTCTCACCTCATGCAATTCAACAACGGACGGACCTTAATCGACACAGGCGGAAAGAACCCGCTCACAAGACCTACATGTCTTGTGGCTCCCCTACACCTAGTCCGCCCGGTCTAGATTTATTACTCCACATGCTCATAATTCATGATCACATAAGTAACCAAGCGTAACCAAAGATCCATTTAAATCTCGCAGGTGACAGGTAATCACCCGACTTTTATCGATCTAAGCATAGCTAAGCATAACTAGGCATATACGAATTAAAACTGGTAGCAAGGTAGATATGGAAAAACAAGGTTGATAATGCACCAATTAGGTTTTTACTTAACTCCTAATCCCTTAATGCAGTAGAGAAAAGCAAAAGCAAAATAAATTTGTAAAACACAAGGTAGTTTTAAATGCATCCGGGGCTTGCCTTCGTTGACAGAAAAGTCTGGTTCTGGAGTCGTTCCACAATTATCAAATCCGACCTCAACAGGCGGATTAACCTCTTCCATAGCTTGATTAACTACCACGTGCTCACCTTCGTTCACTACACGTAGTAACAATGCCATGTTTAACATGATGCGAGATACAAAATATGATGCTCGATGATGCATGCAAAATTAACAACTTGAATACAACTTTCCTTCGCGGTACAGTTACAAGTCAAACTAACTAAACCTTTTTCATAACACGTATTTCAATTGCCAAGGATCATAAACAACTAATGACCCAAGGTCATCACTCAATCCAAAATTCATTCAAAACCTAAATCATTAAAGGTTACTATTTACTTTTATGAATTAATTATTTAATTAAAAATTATGAAATAAATCAACTTGTTCTAATTGAGCTCAAAATTTTTGTAAAGGTTCATCACATGATAACTAAGTGGCAAAACAATTTTTATAATTTTTGGATAATTAATTAAGCCTAAAAAAATCATGGAAACTAATTTATTAATTAATTGAGAAATTTTTATCACATTCAAAAAGTATTGAAAAACAACATTTCATATTTTTCCTAAATAATATACATCACAGAGAGGTCACACAAAAATTTTCATAATTTTTGGAGCCCTAAATAAATCTACACAAAAATAACAAATCACATCATTATTCATTCAAATCTGAAAAAGGAAAAATTCCATTTTGAAACACTGAGTCACTGACAACCCGACCCCACATGTCATCCCCTACCTCCCGCGCTGACCACGACGACAGCGGCTTTGACCGACGAAATCTTGCCGACGGCAAGGTCAACGCCGACGGTGAAGGCACCAACATGCTCCCCACGACTATGCGCACCTACTGATGTCACTAATTGCATCGATCGCTGCACAAAACAAGCACGGCATCGGCCATGGCGGCCACGACTGCACGGCGGCGCTACGCCGGTGATAGGAGACCGGTAGTGATTAAACCAACGGCACAGGAAGGTTTAGCAGCTCACCCTGAACACGCTCGAGCAGGAAATAAGGCCGGAGAAGCAACGGTGAAGCGGGTCGACGGTCACAGCGGCCACGGCGGCGCGAGCAACGACGACGGTAGTGCTCCGGTGGCTGCGGTGGACAAAACGATCAAGCAACAAGGTATTAAGCACCACGGCAACAAGGTGAGGCTGGAACAACCCTACACAAGGACAGAGGCGCACCGTGGAGCGCTGGCCACGACGGTGGCGCTGCCGGCCGTGAAGAAGAAAGACGACGAACGGCGTTTCCCGATGAAATCAAGTGACCAAAGCGGGTTGGCTAGGTGCGCAAGGAGCAGGCGAAGCTGTGGCAAGCTTTGCCGAGGACGGGAAGGCGCTACAGCGACGGTGAAGCTCAACGGAGCTATGGCGGTGGCAACTGGAAAACAGAGGAGAAGAAACGGCGAAGAACGACGGCGGTGAAGGCCTTATAGCGCGGCTCAGAAGCGCAAGGAAGCCACGCGGGAGCCTTCCCTGCGCCAGCGCGAAGCCTAAGAGGGCCACGCGACGACCAGAACGCGTTAGAAGCTCGCCGGCGATGAGGTGTCTTCCGCGGGCACTGTTCATCGTATTTACAAAATTGCCACTCGGTTTAAAATCTAAATTACTCCCAAATTTATGTAATAACTCAAAAATCTCCAAAAATAAAAGTTGTTCAAAATTCAAAGTTCTACAACTTTGCTTTTATAACCACCCCCTAATTCAGTCTACATTTTGAAATGTAAATTTGAATTCAAAAAGGGAATATTTATAGAATCACGCCTTTTCTTCAAATTTCATAAAACAACTTTGAAAACTCCAAAAACCAACTTTGTACAACTCGACAAGCTCTACATTTTTGCTTTAAGGCTCAACCCCAAAATGTACTTTGATTTAGAATTAGGTTTTTCGGGGCAAAACTAATCACTGGAAATCAGAGTTTTCGGAAATCCAAATCAACACAATTGTTTTGAAATTGATTCAACCATACAAGGCAACACATATAACATAAATATAAATTTGTTTTAGTGTATGCATATCAAAGTTTTCACTAAGACCAAATGATTAGCAATGCATATGATGACATGACAGGTTTTAGTATTTAAAACACCCGGGGTGTTATAATCCTTCCCCCTAAAAAGAAATCTCGTCCCGATATTCAAAGTCATAGGGTAAATAATGGAAAAGGAAATGTGTCAATCCAAAAACATCCAAAACTTATCCATAAAACAGCTGAGGTTCCCTTACAAACATGGTTCGTAACAATAGAGCAAAACTAACGTTATTCTATATCGACGCAAGAAACTCTGGAAATTTTCCTAACAAGTAAACTTCGGATTCTCAAGTAGCTTCTTCTTCGGAATGTTGATTCCATTGTATCTTATAGAACTTGATTGTCCTCATTCGAGTAACACGATCTTTCTGATCCAGAACTCGGATAGGATATTCGGAATAGGTCAAATCAGGTTCAAGTTCCACTTCTTCAATCTCAACATTCTGCTCAGGCACTCGGAGACACTTCTTTAATTGAGAAACATTGGGTAGCAGCTAGCGCTCGGCGAGCGGCCTCCAGGTACGACGAAGGAGAGCAATCGCCATCTGAGTCGTCGGAGAGGAGATCCTCATCCTCGTCGGACCACCGGCGGAGCTTTGACCTCCCCAACGAGCCGCCTCTCAGGTGGAAAGGAAGGGCGGAGGGAGAAAGCCCGCTAGCCGCGCGTGGAGATGATGAGGAGGGCACCGGCCGGCTAAGTTGGACGTCCTTCTGACCTGGGGCAGGCTGGGAGAGGGTGGGCGCCAGACCCGGAGCGGGCGCCGGCGCAGGGCGGTGGTTGCCAAACCCGGAGCAGTCGCTGGCGCAGCTGCTGCCCGCGTGCAAGCCATGCTCAGACGGAGGCGCTGGTGACCCCAGCGGAGAAAGGGTAGGAGCATCGGAGGCTTTGAACTCGCCGAAACCTGGGAGAGGGCTGGAGAGTGACCTACCAAAGGATAGATCGGGCGATGGTGGTGACGGATCTGGGCGCTGATGGGGAGGAGCGGCTGGGGAAGGAGCGGATCTGGCCGGATTGGGCTCTGGCGGCTCGGGGAGGACGGAGGAGAGGGATGGGTCGGGGGGGGTCAGGGTCGTCCATTCTTGCCTCCAGCAATGAATAGTAGCTATTTCTTGTGTGTAGCTGAAGCTGAAGATTAAACATTCAAAATTTTCCATGCTCACGAGTAGTACACTTAATATTCAAACTTCTCTGTCCTCCGGGTGAGATTTTTGCAGGTAACAGTTAATGCAAGTTAATAAGTTGTCTTAAGACTTAAGAGTCCATTATGTTAAGGGACTGCCCTGGTGTTTGTCCTGTGAATAACATGTCTCGTAACGCTGATGGGATCAGGGGTCTGAGTTTGTTCTTCCGATATTAGAGTTATTTCCTTGCTATTCCTTGTTTTTAGTTTCGAAATCAGAGCCTGTGGATCTCCCACTACAGGACGCGGCCAAATGGTGGGAGGAGGCAAGTGGTGTCCAAACAGGACTGCAAGTGGTTCAATGGAATCCTCATTTACATTTTGTGGAACCTGTGGATCTTCGAAAACACCCATATGACCATGCAACAGGTGGCCTCGTTAGCAAAAGAGGATATAATGCAAAGACGTAGGGCGATGATATTTGATGGGTGAATCCTTTTAGCAACAGGATTTAATCTCTCCTGATCTGGTCCTAGGAACGTTGTGTATTACGCCAATGGACGCCATTTGTACATAAAACTCTAAACTCTTTCTCTTAATTGAGTGATAGAGCTTCTACCTTTTATTTCAAAAATCAGAGTCTGTGGCAAGAACCGGAATGCACACAACAACTAAGTTGGAACAAAATGCATACAAGCAAAATAGTTGTCTTTTTATTCTCAACTGTACACATAAAGTGAGTGGTACTTATACCATCCGTTCCAAATTAACGGCTTATAATTTAGATTTAGCAAGTTACATTTGTCGAGCCATAATGAGGCTACTGTTCTGGCCTTCACTTATCGACTGGCTTACCTTTCTCCCTCAGCTTGGCCACAGCTTCCTTCATGGCCTCCTTCCTCTTCCTGCTGGCAAGCACTTTAGCCTGCACACCGCTAACATTAGGGTCTTTCTTCTCTTCTGCTGGCCCTGGTGGTGGAGGCCGCCTCTTGGAAGCAGCACCAGCGATGTCAGGGCCCAGCATGGTGCCAGCAGCAGCAGCGACCAAGCCGCATAGAAGTGCCCTAGAACAGCAATACATTTATCAAACTCACAGCGAGCTAGGAGCACATCCTGGAGTGGAGATAAGAGGAACTGAACATGTGATGAGATACCTCCTATTGTCGAATTTGGCCCCAAATGCAAAATTGTTGTTGCTGCTCTCCGGAGCAGGAGGTTTTGGAAAAATCTTCAGAATGGTGGTTGTGCTTTGTGATGCTGAGAGTGAGAGGGGAGGCATGGGAGGCGCCATTGCCGCCCTGGTGCTTGGTACCTTCAGAAACAGAAACGAGTACGTGTGCTGTAGCCATTAGCATGGATGGCTTCCTGCAGGTGAGAACAAGAGAAGTGATAGATACGGCCCCACAAAAGGTGTTATGTCACCTTACCATTGGTTGCAAAAGTTTCAGGCAAGATAAGGCACGAGGAACATATACATATTCTTTCAGTATATGCCTACCCTGCCAAGGAGCGATGCTTTTCTCAGTTTTATTTAGTTCATCCCACTGATACTTCGCTTGTTTGAGGTTAAGAAGGCTTCATTTTAGCTCAGACCCCCAATTGCTTCAGTGATGCATAGTCCCTTAATAAGCAGGTTTGGATAACTCCTGGGAATATATGACAAGCGAATGCAGTCTACAGGCTACAGGGTAAATATGAAAAAAAGAGTGTGCTAATTTAACCGCTTTGAGGTTACTTTGTCACAGTTATCACTACTAAAATAGTGTAACTGTAGCATTTCGACCGTTCATTTTTCCCTACAAAAGTTAGCAGATGCTTAAAACTGTACAATCACTATAAAGTGGAGTACGTATGTCTCAAGAGGTCATGTGTTCTTTTTTTCTTAGAAAAAGCCTTACGATCAAAATTGCCGCAACACGTAATCAGTGACAAGGAAATTGAAACGGAGGTCAGAGTGACACTGAGACTACGAGTACACATTACGGAGGCGACGAGGCCACGCAAGCGCCTCGCCGTACGAGCGGGGATTAATCGGCGTTTTGTTGCCCTGCACCTACACGTGCGGCCCGTGCGACTCACCGGTCTGGGTAATGTTTTTTTTTTCGAGGAACGCGGCCCATATATAAGACCGAATCTAAGGGTCTTGCGGCCCAACAATTTTTCTCTTCGCCCAGCCCATGCGTGCTCGCTTTCGTCCTAATTCCGTGAATACAGAACTCTTCTTCCATTAGAACTCGAAGCAACGGGCCCTCGGGTTAGGGATCCCATCCCTGCGACCGCTGCTCATCCCGAGCTCCGCCGGCGCCCGCCGACCTCCTCGCTTACGTCAGTGTGCGCCGCTGGGGGTGGGAGGGTGGTGATGGCCCCCGTCGGGAGACAGAGGGAGAGAGGCATTAAGAGATCGAGTGCCACAAAAGACAGGCTAAACAAGATGGTGAAGAAGCGGCTTCCGCTGCAACGTGCGTTCTTCTTTCAACGAGTCGTTTGCTTAATCTTCCCTTGATCCATGTGCCTGCCCAAATTTCCAGTGTTCAGCAATCGATTTTGGTTGACTGCGTACCAATTTTCAATTCTCAATTTACCTCTTTTATATGCTGATGTCCATGATCTAGTAAGGTAAGAATTCCTGCGACCTTGCACGGTTAACCAAGATGCCTCTTTTTCAGGAGGCAGAAATTCGAGGCTGGAAGTGTCTTACCTGTACAGGTTTAAGTTATGAGGTTCTTAAATCTCTGGGAGAAGACCATTCTTCGGCAAAAGAAGAGTAAAAAGGAGAACCAGCAAAAGGCGAACTTGATTAAAAATAGGGTAAAGTACATTTTTTAACCTCCAACTCGTATTGAAGTTTCATTTTCAACCTTTAACTATGAAACCGGGTAACTGTCAAAACCGGATAAATTTGGTCCTCGGCAGGTTTTAAAAACGGTTTTCTATTTTCTAATAATAATAAAAATCTGGTTCGATCTCTAGAAGTTCACAATTAATTTATTTTAAATAGTTCATGTTTTCTTCTAAAAATGTTATATATATGTTGATGTTATATTTAAAATTGTTTAGACCTTACTTATTTTAAATAAATAACAAGCGTGACAACGAGCAATAAAGCAATAGGAACATAAATAAACCAATTCCAAATACCTATATATAGACCATAAACAAGTAGAGAACATTTTTAGAAAAAAGTACTAGTTTCATATTTTTCTGATTTAAAATAAATGCCGGCGGTGATAGCAATGCTACTGTATACATTAATATAGGGCTTAGCGCTCGCGGCCGACCTCTCGAGTTGTTTTAGGCCAAAAGCAAGACGGTGCGCACGGAGACGAAGGCAGCGAACTGTCATGTAAAAGAACGGAAAGCGAACAATTTAATTCCATACGAAATTTAATTCCGTGTGAAATTTAATTCCATTCTAAATTAAAAACAATTTTAAATATAACATCAACATATATATAACATCTTTAGAAGAAAACATAAACTAGTTTCATATTTTTATAATTTAAAATAAAATAATTACGAAACTTCTAGAGATCAAATCGGATTTTTATTATTGTTAGAAAATAGAAAACCTCTTTTGAAACCAGCCGAGGATTAAATTTGTCCGGTTTTGACAGTTGGAGGGTGTTTGTTACCCGGTTTCATAGTTAAAAGTTGAAAATTGAACTTCAATGCGAGTTGGAGGTTGAAACATGTACTTTACCCTTAAAATATGGGTCCGATGGAGGGGCGTAAGTGACGACTTAATTTTATGCTTTCTTGTTGTCTTCATGCCTTCTTTATAATGAATTTCATAAAACATTACCACCATAGTTCATAGAATAGTGCAAGTAGCCAAAAAACATGTTCACTGCAACTATTACCATAAGGTAAAATGCTTTTTCTGGGGTGAAGTTTACTATTTAGAGTATATGAAAATTACTATCTGAAATACTATAATATATGTGGAATGGTATTTACATACTTCAAGCACATGCATTGTGTTTTCAGGGTGAAATTTACTATCTGAAATAAATATATGTGGGTATTTACATACTTCAAGCACATGCATTGTGTTTTTGTGTTGGGCTGTTGGGTCGTAGTATAATTATTGATGACAGCGCAGATTATTCAAACAATGAGCTTAAACTGATTTCATGGATAAAAGCAACAAAGGTAGCTTGTTGCTGGCTTACTGGCTAATGCCATTCAGAAGCAGGATGAAATAGCCATGGTTTAAGCTGAAGCTTGCTTCAGTGCCAATGCAAAAGCATCTCAGACATGGCCCATGGCATTCAAATTTAATATTAAGTTTAGTCTGAGTGTCTGACTAAGTATGAGATAGATCATAGAGTTCTTGAGTTTCTGCTGTTAATAGATTCTTTACAAAGGATGTACAGCGCTTCAGCTGAAGTAAGTAGTACCTCCATTCTCTAGCTGCTTGCACTCAGCACTCTCATTCTTTCGGCACAATACATGCTGACCCCCTCGAGGCATGCTATATGGCCATCTTGTGCATGGTGGCTACTCCAGTTTGAACTGATGTTCAGACTGGGATATGGGGGTGGATGGTTTATCAGTTCAGTGGAGATTCACTTTGTATGTACTCCTGAGTCTATATATACATCATAAAGCTGGAGTAAAGAAAAGGGCTACTGTACCAATATGCAGATTATTATCACTCCACAGCACATGCATGCATATTTCTATGCAAAGAATTTCTTTAAGCGCTAATGAGTGTTTGCCTGATTCCACAAAGGTTTAATCATTGATGATATAAATGTGCCCATGCTTATTATTAGGGATGAAAACGGATCGGATACGAACGGATATCATTGATATTACATTTGTTTTCATATTTCTGTCCGGATTCGGATTCGAATACGGATAGTGTCAACCATGCCGGATAGGATACGATTTGATATCAACATCATAAATATGCGACTTGAGTATTCGGATACGAATACGGATACGGTATCGGATGTTGAATATCCGGACTCGGATACGAACAGATTTGAACCCCTTTAAACGGATTCGGTCTCGAATATGGCCAGAAAATATCCGTACCGTTTTCACCCCTACTTATTATGGACCCTTGCTGTAAGAATCAGTTAGCCATTTTACCTCTTAGTACTGAATTGTATGATTTAACTCCCAATTATTTGGTCAAACTAGCGCTTATATGTGGTAACCAGTCAGAGCCCCCTAAACCTGTACATGGCCTCACTACTAGTGCACCCATTTCAACACTATTTTAGATATGCTATACCTGAAGAATAGTCTAAGGAAGAGAGGGCTAGGAGCCAGGGATACATGGTAGGAAGATTCATGGGAATGTATATATTGACTTGCTTGTATCTTATTATGATCTTGTTTAATGCTCCTTAATGTCACAAATTCTTTGTAATATTGACTTCCAATGAATGGTACCATTGTACCAAGATGCAACTTTGACTGCTTATATTAACACAATAACTTAAGTGTAACATTGTGGAAGTATCATATCTCATGCTATACTCATGTGGCAAATCTGAATCTCAAGATGATTTTATTGGGCTGTGATCAACAATTTTAACCAGGAGTTTCCCTCAGAGCCTGGATTCATCAATAGTTAGCTTGATTATAGTTCTTTTTGCCTTATTTTCTTTCTTTGTCCCAATATACAATATGATATGCATCAGTGCATGTATCTTGTGTCATCACAAATTTCTATTGGCTCTGCTTTTATGGAAATGATTCTATGCACAGGTTCCACCACATGTTTTTGGAGGGATCCAGATGCAAAATTTCGCATCATCTGTGGAGACGACCAGGAAGTGCATTTAGAGCTGAAGTGCCCGTACAACTATCCTTCCCCGGTCACATATGTTCCCTGCAGAGCACGACTTGCTCTTTGGGGTAATTACACAACCACACTTCGTTACAAGTGCCCAAGGCATAGAGAGGAAGAAATGAGAGGCCTGGCCCTGTTCGGCTTGCTGAAAGTGGCTGAAAAGCACTGTTCTGGCTGAAATGGTGTGAAAGAAAAACACTGTTTCGACTGAAAAAAGAAGCCGAACAAGCCGTACAAGGTAAGCCGAACGGGGCCTCACCTCCCACGCACGACGAAAGGAACTCAAGGCGTCTCAAGTTCATGCGGTACCTTGTGCGTGTGAACAACTTGTCGCAGCGCTACCACACTGAGCAATTTGCCGCACTGTTCAGCAGGTTTGGCCAGCTGCGGATGTGGCATATAGCGACGCGCAGCTCTGGGGCCTGCAAGGGATACGGTTGTGTCGTCTTCCAGCACCGTGAGCATGCTGAGGAGGCCATTGA